TCACTGCTTAAACTACACTTCGCATATTTCGCAGAGCTAAAAACAAGACAATTTTTTCCATCGTGGCTAGTGTGGCGCAGATGCTAGAACCCGCNCTTTATGCATGCACAACATCGGAATTTGTATGGCAAGTGTAAACGCGTGAATTGAATATGGGTCACAACTAAAATAACGTGTAAACAGTCAGGCGAACAAATCAGATATAGGCAAGAAATCAGAATTGGGCATCAAGACCTGACAGTGTAAACTATGTCTTTGTCATACCTTTTGGCTTTGTCCAGAGTTAATCTCTTTTTGAACATCAATCTTTAAATCTTCTCTGATATTTTTGTTCTAAAAATTTAACCATGTCCGTTAGTGGCACTGTTTGGACTTAATAAAGCACAGAAGTATTTTCGGGTCATTATAAAATTGTAGATTTATTTATACATTTAAAAGTTATATTTTTAAAATCTATTGTTTTATTGCTTTATTAAATGACATTTAAAAACACAATAAAAAAATAAACACATTTAAATCTGTCAATTTATTTATTCATTTAAATTGGGATTTGTTTCTATACATTTTTATGCTTCAATTATTAAATTGATCATTTGATTATTTATTTTACTTCTACAATAACTAGCCTTCCTCATCCTCCATAGAAGTCTGCCACTAGAAACAAATAACCAAATTAAAGTAAATAAAAATATTTATGGGAAGAAAAAAAAGCATTTTAACTGCCTTTCTGAACTGCAGGTTTGGGAAATGATCTATTTTAAATGTTTCATTCATCTCTGTGTTTACTAGCACTTAATCACTCATCTTCGGTTTTTCATGTTTTCGTGTTAATTCATACCATTTCACTGCATTTAAGTTTGATTTTCATACCATTCTCTAATTTATCTGTTTTATGAGTTTCATCCTTTTGTCTTTTGAATATATCCTCAGCCTGCCGCCCCTGGCCTGTCCCAGACTCCGCCCTCATCTCCAAGAACGGCCCAGAAGGCGGGGCACAGACGCATTCAGAGTGATGTCACCCACAGCGCAATGTTCGGAGTGCCAGTCAGTCAGTCCACTCAGCAGCTGCAGGCGGCCACAGCCGAGGCCAGCCTTAACAAGTCAAAGTAAGAATAACAAATCTTGCATATACAGTTGAAGTCAGAATTATTAACCCCCCTTGTATTTTTTTCTGTTTACTGAAAGAATATATATGTTCAACACATTTCTAAACATAATAGTTTTTAATAACTTATTACTAATAACTGATTTCTTTTATCTGTGCCATGATGACAGCACATAATATTCAACTAGATATATTTCAAGACACTAGTATTCAGCTTAAAGTAACATTTAGAAGCTAGACTAGGTTAATTAAGCAGATCATTGTATCAAGATGGTTAGTTCTGTAGACCAGTGGTTCTCAACATTTTTATCACTGTGGACCAGTCAGTGCTTGACATTTGTACCGTGTCCCAGACGTGGGAGATGGTATACATAGATTGCTAGGTGAACATCAACTGTTTTCTTAGAGGATGACAAGCTGATAAAACATTGCTGCAACTCTGATACATATATATATATATATATATATATATATATATATATATATATATATATATATGTTGATAAATTAAGGTTTAAATGAGCGCTTCAAACAAACGTTTTAGAGAAAATGTCAGACAGATGGGCCTTCAAATCTGATCAGAGGAAGAAGTGGGCCCCAAAGTGAAAAAGGTTCAGAACCCCTGGCCTAAATGGATCTACTAATATAGACCTTATATTGGTTCTTAAAAAAATTTAACGATTTTATTCTAGCTGAAATAAAATAAATAAATAAATAAGACTTTCTCCAGAAGAAAAAATATTATGGGGGATACTGTGAAAAATTCCTTGCTTTGTTAAAAAGCATCTGGGAAATATCTGAAAAAGAAAAAAAACAATTCACTGGAGGGCGAATAATTGTGACTTCAGCTAAATAAATAAAGAATTCCTAACCTTCATTTCTCTGACTGTGATCCTGTCAGCTCTGCATGATCAAAAGCAGCATTCTGTCAAATTGAATCCTACAAATAACTTATTCCTGAATGCTTTTTAATTTGTATTCCCCACCATTAGGTCAGCTAGCGCTACTCCTTCCAACTCTCCCCAGTCCTCCCAACAGAGTGTTTACCAGCCTGCCCAGCAGCAGGCCAGTGTTTCTGTCCCCCAAGCTCCTGCCTCGGCTGCTAATCTGACAAGCCCTCCAACCCAGCCCACCTGGAATCCCTTCGATGATGACAATTTCTCCAAACTCACAGCTGAGGATCTTCTCAACAAAGACTTCACCAAGCTAGCTGATGGTAACAGTGCGTTCTTACAGACATTTCAAATGCAGCTTATTTATTTCTACATAAATATGGAAAACTATAGGTGCCCCTCCCACCTACTTATGCTCTAATTTGTAACGCATTCACACTGAAAATTACAAAAATAATACGTAACCTTTATCTACCCAGATGATGCACTTATTCAATGATATAAGAAGTGTGGAATGTTGAGCACTTTGTGCATTCATTGGTCAAAGCTTTTCTCTTTAGCGGAATGAAAGGAACTATTGAGTGCTAAAGTTTGATTATTTTATTCATTTTTGATTGTGCAAGCAAAATTCTCCTGCGCAAGAAATTATGCTGCCTCCCGATGGTGAATGTGGTTGTAGTCATGACAGGTATTGTGTATGTCAACCTATTGTGAGGTCCAAGCACGGAACCTTGAGGTACACCTGTAGTTTCCTGCATGTGCATAAAGTGTAATAAAAACTGTTTAAAAACTTGATTTTTAATTATATTAATTACACTCACCGGCTACTTTATTAGGTACACCTGTCTAACTGCTTGTTAATGCAAACTTCTAGTCAGCCAATCACATGGAAGCAACTCCACGCCAATGCATTTAGGCATGTAGACATGGTCAAGAAAATCTGCTGCAGTTCAAAGCAAACATCAGAATGGGGAAGAAAGGTGATTTAAGTGACTTTACATGTGGCATGGTTGTTGGTGCCAGACAGGCTGGTCTAAGTATTTCAGAAACTGCTGATCTATTGGGATTTTCACGCACAACCATCTCTAGAGTAGGGTTGTAACGGTATGAATTTTTCACGGTATGATAATCGTCTAAAACAATACCACGGTTTGACGGTTTCGCGGTATACGGTATGTTACAAATGTTACAAAATAATAGAACAGTGAAGCAAATTTGACTTTTTCCAAATAATATATTTTTAGTTACTATAAACAACACCACTTACAATGAACAAATAAAAATAAGAAAATAATAAATAATGTGTCAAAGTCCAAATAAAGTCCAAATAAACATGGTGCAAATCCTCAGTAAAAAATAGATATAAATATTTACTATACTATAAATAGTTACATAACGAAACTAGATTCAATATGGAACATCCTTAGGTTTTATGTGCCAGCATGGATATGGTTGTCTGTGGATATGGATTTGGATATGGTTGTCTGCAATGCAGATAAACAGCTGCATCTTCATTTGCGTCTTTTGAAAACAGCAAGAGCAGCAGTTCGTCTTTGCTGTGTCACTGTTTTGTCATGTTTCTGTGCTGCTGTGCATGCAAAAGTACTTAGTATGAGAATTATTTCATGCAAAACTTTTTTTTTTTTGCGTTTTATTTAGCCGCGCATAAATGTATGCCTTTCTCTCATTCCGTGTTGTTCAAAAAGCTCAGTGTTGGTCCACAAACAAAAGTGAAACCTATGCTTATTGGTTGTGATATAGCGAGTTTGAACCAATCTGGGCATGGAGGAGGGACAATGCATCGATGTATCATGTCTGATTTGTCCGGAGACACAGTGACGAGCGTTTCTTTGTCAAATCAGCGTTGTCAAATGTTGATGACGTAACCGCACTGATTCCGGAGCCTCTGAAAGTCCGCGAATGTTATGTGATACAGCACTGGAAAGCTGAGACTCTCTTCTTTATGCCAATCTTTGAATTGTATGAATCTGATCAGCGGATCAAAAGTTATTAAACATTTAAGAGCAATAACGTTACTTATTTTTAGCCGCGGGTGGCTGTCTCGGTCTTTAAGGGTTAAAACCGTTGATATGCAATTGTTCATGGTATGATAATCGTGCACGTTCAAATCGTGGTAAACCGTCATACCGGTATATTGTTACAACCCTACTCTAGAGTTTAAAGAAAATGGTCTGAAATAGTGGAAATATCCAGTGAACGGCAGTTCTGTGGATCTATCCTGCCTTGTATCAGCGATTCAGGCTGGTGGTGTAATGGTGTGGGGGATATTTTTACACTTTGGGTCCATTAGTACCAATTGAGCATCTTGTCAATGCCACAGCCTACCTGAGTATTGTTGCTGACCATGTCCATCCCTTTATTACCACAGTGTATCCATCTTTTGATGTTGATGGCTACTTCCAGCAGGCTAACACGCCATGTCATAAGGCGTGAATCATCTCAGACAGTTTGTCATGTTCAAATGTTTCTTGAACATGACAATGAGTTCACTGTACTTAAATGGCCTCCACAGTTATCAGATCCTAAATCCAATAGAGCACCTTTAGGATGTGGTGGAACGGGAGATTCACATCATGGATGTGTAGCCAATAAATCTGCTGCAACTTTGTCATGTCAATATGGAGTAGATTTCTGAGGAATATTTCCAGCACCTTGTTGAATCTCTGTATGCCATGAAGGATTAAGGCAGTTCTGAAGGGAAAACGGGGTCCAACCCAGTACTAGTAAGTTGTACCTAATAAAGTGGCCAGTGAGTGTATATTAACAAAATATGCCACCTCTTACTACTGCGACCAATTTATACCAAATCACCATTCTGGTCTAAAGTCCAGTTTCTAAAGTCCAGTGTTTTTGCTGCTGTACAGCACTGTAATTTTAATTCCTTTACAGCAATATAATAGAAATACTATGTGAAAGTATCTTTTATTTTTAGCAACTCTTGTGAAAGTGTAACATGAGTCAGGTATCACAGCAAAAATTTTTCTTAGTGAACAGAAGGCCAAAATGTAGATGTATTTTTAAGTGTATCTGAATTATTGCACATTTAATTAAACTGTTTTTGCCGTTACAGAACCCGTTGAACCTTTGATCGTCACTTCCGACAGTCTTATTCCTGGACTGGAAGCTGCAGAATCTGCTCCTCCATCTTCTGGTAGGTGTAGCATAGGTCTAAATCTGACTTTTCCCACTCACAGAAATTGAAGCAAATTGTAAATGTGACATTCTGACTTCCTGTCACATTTTCGTGAGTGTCACTTTTTCAGTGTATTGCTATTGCCCTTCTCAACCTGTCTTGCTTACATCACATTAAGTGCGTGGTCACCAGCCTCAGCAGGAGACTCCTATTTAAAGAAAAAATTCAAGTACGGAGAGTCCTTTGAATCGCATCCCACCACTTACCTCAGCATCCCTGCTGATTGGCTCGTCAGAGTCGAACCGCTTCCTGAATTCATGCTGAAGCTCAGCATTTAATGACTTCTGTTGATGTCAAGTGTTTTTTTACTGCTTTGTAATGTTGCTCTTCTCTGGATCTCATTTAGCTGAACGACCTGCTGATATTCTTGGCTTGGAACCTGGAGCTGGTTTGCTAGCTGTGCCAGGTAATTCGCCCTGTGTTCACCTTCATAACTTCATTAACGTTGAAATGTTGTTGTTCACTGGTTCTGTATATTGTATCTTCATTTATTACTTTCTCTTTACGTTACACTGTTTATTGAATGATATAATTAGAATAGAGTTATAGATAGAATTATAATAATAACCTCCTGAATGTTCACCTACGTGGACAGCACATTTGAGCTCTTAAGTGGCTATTTAAAATACTTTGAATGTTTTATATTTTGTTACAGACATACAGTGTTATCCTGCAACTGTTTTGCAGCATATGAAATGTCACAAACACGATTTTAAACTGTCCAAAAATGAAAAAAAAAAAAAGTTTTTACTCTCTAAAAGTCACAGCAAGTTAAAACAATTTTTCCGGAATGTTTTTATGCATATATAACAGTTTTTTTTTTTTTAAGTAAATTCGGACCACGAGTCCACATATATGGACATGATTTTTCTCTAAAAGTACAGTTGAAGTCAGAACTATTAGCCCCCTTTTGATTTTATTTTTCTTTATTAAATATTTCCTAAATGATGTTTAACAGAGCAAGGAAATTTTCACAGTATGTCTGATAATAATTTTTCTTCTAGAAAAAAGTCTTATTTGTTTTATTTCGGCTAGAATAAAAGCAGTTTTGAATTTTTTAAAAACTATTTTTGGGACAAAATTATTAGCCCCTTTAAGCTAATTTTTTTCTCGATAGTCTACAGAACAAACCATCGTTATACAATAACTTGCCTAATTACCCTAACCTGCCTAACCTTCACCTTATTAACCTAGTTAAGCCTTTAAATGTCACTTTAAGCTGTATAAAAGTGTCTTGAAAAATATCAAGTAAAATATTATTTACTGTCATCATGGCAAAGATAAAATAAATCAGTTATTAGAAATTTTTAAAACTATTATGTTTAGAAATGTGCTGAAACCATCTTCCCTGCATTAAACAGAAGTTGGGGAAAAAAATAAACAGGAGCGCTAATAATTCAGGGGGGGCTAATAATTCTGACTTCAACTGTACTTCTTATCAAAAAATGATACTTAGATTTTTTATTCTACTTAGGTTCCAATAAGCACAAATAGCAAAGAGAAATAAAAAAAGCATGTAAAAAAAAACACCTTGGTCTTTAAGAGGATATGAAGAGTTCAGATGCAAAACCCTCTATATCAATCAGACCTCTTTTCTTGTAAATGAGCATTTTCTGTCAGCCTCCTCTCATTAGGTTCAGAAGTTTTATTTTATATGTAATGAAAAGGTTATTAGCTGGTAAAAAGAAAAATACCAATACTTTTTTTATTTTTATAAATGTCACTTTAGACAATTCTTTGGTTTTTAAACAAGGTAGATTTAAAACCTGCTAAATCCACTTCTGCTTGTATGCAAAAACCTTTTAATCCACCTGAGACAAAACAGTGTAATTAGTTGAAAATCACTATAAAGATGCGATCAGAAATTATTTGACCAAACATAAAACACATTACACAAACAGCCTGAAATTAAAAATATATAAGTCTGTCAAGTAAGTGGCGGTTCATTCCGCTGTGATTAAACCAGGGAAACAGCAGAAGGAAAAAGAATGACTGAAATCTGTAAAGTAAGTGCATTAATCAAAAACATTAAAACTGCCATTAAATACATCTGAACAATCAATTGTCATTTCTGATATTTAGGATTTAGATTTAATGTAAGTAGAGCAATGTAAACATTGTAAACTAAACTTGATAGATTTAAATAATGTAGTGTAAATAATTCTGAAACATCAATATCTGGGCATTGTCTATTAATATAAAAGCTTATTGGACGTTTAGGCATTATGAAGTAAAAAAAATAATGTAAAGTTTTAAACATTTATATTTATCTTTTAAAAAATAGCTTACATTAGCAAATGAAACACAATGTGAAAAAGGGGATGCCTCTCTGACAATTTTAGAAGCTGTCATTCACTCATCCTCACCATACTTAAGGTCTTGGTCCCGTGTTTATCCTCATGGCATCCACGTGGGATAAAAGAATGGCATCTTAACTCTGTCTTTCACGGAACCCAGTTTCCGTTTAATGTATAGTAAATTGGACTCATTTAAAGTAGCGTCGATGCGCAAAAAAACCCATTATGAATGCATGTCACACTTCCGACTGCACAGTGTGTTTTATTTTTTTTATAATGCACAGAGTTTTGACATAAGGGACATTTTCATTTGCCATTCACTGACAATCAGACAGCCTCATCCAGTTCACCAAACTCTGTCTTTAAAATCAAAATCGGAAGCGGAAAAAAGCAGTCTCCTTATAAAGGGGGCGTATCAGAGTGCTGCTACATTGAAAACACTTGATTCGATTCGGGCTTCTGATTGGTTCTTGGGATATATCGGCTTTTGCTGTCAGACAACTGGCGTTTAGTGGCTTTTGCCAGCAAACTGTTATTTATGAATGCGCTGAGGCTGGGATTTAGATGATTTGAAGCAAAACTATTTGTTGATAGTGTACTACATGCCTAAACCATTCACTAAATGCCATTATCTCATTTTTGGCGGAAGTGGCGTTTAGCTGCGTTTGCATCTGAACTCTTCATATAGATATAATATAATAACAATTATAGGTCGATACTAAATAGAGTTCAGACTAGACATATAAGGATATTTAATCATTGGACATGCACAATATTGATGTTGTGGGCACTTCCATATACTGTAAATACTTATCGAACATTTAAAGTTAGTAAGATTATTCAGATTGTTGTAATAATGCTTGAAGTCTTAATAGGCAATTTATTTTCAAAAATTGACATTTTCATATGTTAATCCAACCTATTACATTGGAAATTCTGTGATTAACTGTATCCTTTTGTTTGTTAACTGTAATGATCTATTTGTTAACATCAGGTAATTAACTAAGTCAAAGTAATGAACCCATTTCTAAATTTTAGGTGATGTTAATTTCTTAGTTAATACCTAATTACATAGTAAATAAAGTTGTGATCAATTTATTAAATGAAGTTATTACCTAACAATATTTGTAAAAAAAATAAATAAAAAAAACACTCACCAGCCACTTTATTAGGTAAACCTGTACAATTGCTCGTTAACGCAATTTTCTAATCAGCCAATCACATGGCAGCAACTCAATGCATTTATGCATGAGCAAATGCCTTGTTGATGCTAGAGGTCAGAGCTCAACATGTTCAACCTTGAGGTGGATGGGCTACAGCAGCTGAACACCACACCGGGTGCCACTCCTGTCAGCTGAGCACAGTATACTGAGGCTACAATTCACACAGGCTCACCAAAACTGGACAATAGATAATTGGAGAAACGTTGCCTGCTCTGATGAGTCTCCATTTCTGCTGCCACATTCGGGTGGTAGGGTCAGAATTTGGCGTCAACAATATGAAATCATGGTTTCATCCTGCCTTGTATTAACTGTTGAGGCCATGTAATAAAGTGTGAATCATCTCAGACTGCTTTCTTGAACATGACAATGAGTTCACTGTACTTAAATGGCCTCCGCAGTCACCAGACTTTAATCCAATAGAACACCTTTGGGATGTGGTGGAACGGGAGATTCGTGATGCTATCATGTCAATATGGAGCAAAATCTCTGTGGAATATTTCCAGTACCTTGTTGAATCTCTGCCACGTAGCGTAAAGACCGTTCTGAAGACAGAAAGGGGTCCAACCCGGTACTAGTAAGGTGTACCTAATAAAGTGGCCGGTGAGTGTAAAATAAACCAGTAAACTATTTATAATTTTTATTATTTTAAGCAGATTAACTCAATATTGTGATAGAACTGTATATCGTGATAAAAGCTTTAGCAATTGATCGCAACAATAAAACTTTTACACCGTCCGAAGCCTGATTTAGACCAATCAGTTATTCTTACGTGGCAGATTTCTCGCTGTGCTAGTTACCTTGTTCTAATCATCTGTTTGGCTTTCAAACCCTCCATTGTCCTTTCTCTTTCCTCTCAGTTCTGCATGCCTACATTTCTCTGTTTATTCTGGCTAACACTGGCTGTTTTCACTGGCTGACTTACAGAGAAGCTGATAGAGGGCCTAAAGTCTCCAGATACCTCTCTCATGCTGCCTGATCTGCTGTCCATGGCTGATCCCTTTGGCAGCTCCATTGAGGAAACCAGAGATGGTAACCGCTCTCGCCGACTGTCTTGCTGTGTGCTTGCTCTATTTTCCTATTCTCTAAGACACATGGCGTTTTCTAAACCCCTCTATGTTTGTGTGTGATTCAAATTCAAACGGATCCCATATTATGTGTGATGGCTTGCATTTTTCTCCTTTCCCAACATAAAATTACGCGTGAAGGGAATGAAAAGGTATTTGTGTAAACGTTTGTGTAATCAGCATTTAAAAGGCTAAAACAACAGGCTGTGTGTTATGCATTAGTACAGTGGTTCTCAAAGTGGGGGTCGGGGCCCCCTGGGGGGTCGCGGGACAATGACAAGGAGTCGCTTGGTGATTTCTAAAACTCAGATACATTTTATTAAACTATTTGAATTACTATATTTTATTCATAACCCACAGAAGAAGTTAATAGTTGTGTTAAAGAAATAATAACAACATACAAATAAAAACCAACCAACAACTTTTAATTTTATATTTAAATGTAATTAAATTAATAAATGACTATAAAAACATTATATGGTTAATAGACTGCTGCATGTCTGTGTTGTCAATATGCTCATGTTTATATATGCCTATAGTTGTCTGTGCAACGTTTGTATATTTACAGTATGACTACCTTAAAAATGGGGGTCGCGAGTCACTGACATTGTTTTTTTAGGGGTCGCAAGCTGAAAAGTTTGGGAACCAGTGCATTAGTAGAAACTTCTGAGTGATTTACCGCTTAGTTTTGGGTCGCAGAAATATTGTGCTCATTAAAAAATCATAACCAGGCCAATCATTGAACACAAAGGTACACCATTACTTAGGGCTGGGTGATAAATCTGTTTTATCAATTAACTCGGGTGTGTAGTTTACATCAATATGTTTGATTAAAAATCAGTTTTCACCCTAACACTTGACGCTCACCTCTGGGTTTCCGTAGTTCGCTGCGCATTTGCCAAAGAAACTCAAACATTGCCTCGAGCAGGGAAGAACCATGGTAAGAACTCTGAGAAATGTTGCCTCTATGATATGAAAATTAACACGGACACACAAACACACCCGCCAAATAAATAACAAACGGCATAATTCAGGGCTTTCAGTCACGCATTCACTGTGAGACACACATTTGAACCATCTCACGCCATGCCACACCTTGTATTTCTCGAGGTGAGAAGTAAGGTAATGGTGGATAAGCCAATTAATTAACTGTAACCGATATAATGTTGGAATCCAGGATTGCAGTTTCCGGATAACTTGCGTGACCCGGCTGCAAAGATGTTCAGTACAGTGAATATCAACACTGACAACTTGCTCAGTGCAGCAGTGATGCTGCAGCCTGATGCAAATAATAGCACGGATATACTGATAATAATGCAAAATAAAAATTAGTAAACCTCTGATGCATATTCATGTTGAAATAATCTGTAAAGAATAGTAGGGAAATGACTCGTCTTGAAAAATGTCATCTTTTTAACAAGTTTACTTTACCTGTAATTTTATAAAAGAGTTTAATTGATATTATAATTATTATTATTATTATTATTGTTATTAAATTGTTGTAAACCGTTCTAAATCTTAAAACGACAGGTTCTTGAGGGAAAGTTTATTTTTTTACATTAGCATTCTTTTGTATCCTATAACTATATAATAATGACATGGTAAGCTAATTATATTGTTTAATAACCTTAAACTCCACACATTTTTGTGGGGGGAAATCTGATTTAAATCTGAAAAAAAAAAAAAACTTTTAAAGAGGTCACATCGCCCAACCCTAACTTTATTAATGATGACTTAGATGCCCCATCTCTTCATATAGACCTTAAAGCAAGGAAAAGTAGCTTCTTATTTTGTCTGTTGTTGAGAGACTTGACAGGATGATTCAGTGAGTCACTGATGAAGACATCTTAGAAGTGGAATAAAAAATGAATCATTTGACAAGATAAAAACAAGAGGGCCAAACACTGAACCTTGAGGTACACCTTTACTCATTATGACTTGAACTCCCCATCTCTCCAAGATGGCTTGAAGAATCCACTCATCATCTAGCCCTCAGAGCAGGGACAGTAAGGTCTTAATTTTTCTGTTGTTAAAAGATTAGACAGGATGATCCAGCCTGTCACTGTAGAAACTATCATAAAAGTTGAATAAAAATGCATTATTAGAATAAAGATAAAGACACTTGGGCCAAGGACTAAACCTTGAGGTACACCTTTACTTAATATGACTTGAACTCCCCATTTCTGCAAGCCAGCCTGACAAATCTGCTTATCATCTAGGGCTCAAAGCAGGAAAATGAGTTATTATTTTTTTCTGTTGTTAAGTGGCTATACAGGATGATCCAGTGAGCCACTGATGAAACATTGTACAAGAAAAATGAAAAACAAATTATTAGATTAGACAAGATGAAGACAAGAGGGCCAAGAACCGAACTTTGGGGTACACCTTTACTTATTATGACTTGAACTCCCCATTTCTCCAAGGCAGCTTGATGAATCCCCTCATCTAGGCTTCCAAGCTGGGAAAACTATTTTTTTAAATAGTCTGTTGTTAAGAGACTAGACAGTATGATCCAGTGAGTCTCTGATGAAAACATCATACAAGTGAAATAAAAAAGGCATTATTAGATTAGACAAGATAAAGACAAGAGGGCCAAGCACCAAACCACGAGGTACACTTTTACTTATGACTTGAACTTCCCATCTCTCCAAGGTATCTTGAAAAATCCACTCATCATCTGGGCCTTAATACAGAAAAGTAAGATTTTGTTTAGTCCGCTTTTCAAAAAAAGAAAAAAGAAAACTGGACTGGATGATCCAGTGAGCCACTGATGAAAACATCATACAAACGGAATAAAAATGCATTCTTAAATTAGACAATGTGAAGATAAAGACAGAAGGGCCAAACACTGAACTTTGAGGTACACCTTTACTTATTATGACTAGAACTTCCCATCTCTGCAAGACAGCCTGACAAATCTGCTTATCATCTAGGGCTCAAAGCAGGAAAAAGAGTTATTATTTTTTTCTGTCGTTAAGTGGCTATACAGGATGATCCAGTGAGAAACATCGTACAAGAAAAATTAAAAACAAATTATTTGATTAGACAAGATGAAGACAAGAGGGCTAAGAACCGAATTTTGGGGTACACCTTTACTTATTATGACTTGAACTCCCCATTTCTCCAAGGCAGCTTGATAAATCCCCTCATCTAGGCTTCCAAGCTGGGAAAACTATTTTTTTAAATAGTCTGTTGTTAAGAGACTAGACAGTATGATCCAGTGAGTCTCTGATGAAAACATCAAACAAGTGAAATAAAAAAGGCATTATTATATTACACAAGATAAAGACAAGAGGGCCAAGCACCAAACCACGAGGTACACTTTTACTTATGACTTGAACTTCCCATCTCTCCAAGGTATCTTGAAAAATCCATTTATCATCTGGGCCTTAATACAGAAAAGTAAGATTTTATTTAGTCAGCTTTTCAAAAAAAAAAAAAAAAAACTGGACTGGATGATCCAGTGAGCCACTGATGAAAACATCATACAAACGGAATAAAAATGCATTTTTTTTAAAGACAGAAGGGCCAAACACTGAACTTTGAGGTACACCTTTACTTATTATGACTAGAACTTCCCATCTTTTCAAGATAGCTTGAAAAATCCACTTATCACCTAGGCCGGGAACGCAGGGAACGTAAGATTTTATTATTGAGGAACTAGACAGGATGATCCAATGAGTCACTTATAAAAACATCATAAAAGTATAATAAAAACGCATTCTTAGATTAGAAAAGATTAAGACAAGAGGGCCAAGTGCTTAACTAATAGGTGCACCTTTACTTATTATGACTTAAACTCCCCATCTCTCCAAATATCTCAAAGAATCCATTCATCGTCTAGGCCTCAAAGCAGGAGAAGTAAGATATTATTTAGCCTGTTGTTAAGAGACTAGACAGGATGGTCCAGTGAGTCACTGATGAAACCATCATACAAGTGGAATAAAAAAAAAAACACATTATTAGATCTGACAAGATAAAGATCAAGGCAAGAGGAGTAAGCACTGAGCTTTGAGGTACACCTTCAATTATTATGACTTGAACTCCCCATTTCTACAAGATATCTTGAAGACTTTGCTTATCATCTAGGCCTCAACACAGGGAAAGTAATATATTATTTAGTCAGTTGTTGAGAAACTAGACAGTATGATTCAGCGAGTCACTAATGAAGACATCAATGGAATAAAAGTGGAATAAGTTAGTGGAATAAAAAAGGCATTATTACACAAGATAAAGACAAGAGGGTCAAACACTGAACTTTGATGTATACATTTACTTATTATGGCTTGAAATCCCCATCTCTCCAAGATATCTTTGAAGATTCAGCTTATAATTTGACCTCAAAGCATCAAAATGGGGTTATTATTTAGTCGGTTGTTGAGAAACTAGACAGTATGATCCAATGAGTCACTTGAAAACATCATACAGGTGGAATAAAAAAAAAACATTAGATTAGACAAGATAAAGACTGAAGAACCAAGCACTGAACCTCAAGGTACACCTTTACATACAGTATTATGACTAGAACTCCCCATCTCTCCAAGTTAGCTTGAAGAGTTGGCTCATCTAGGCCTCCAAGCTGAAAAGTTCTTAGTTTCTGTTCTTGAGAAACTAGACTGTATGATCCAGTGAGTGACTGATAAAAACATCTTACAAGTGAAAAAAAATTAATTATTAGATTAGACAAGATAAAGACAAGAGGGTCAAACACCGAACCATGAGGTACACCTTTACTTATTATGACTTGAACTCCCCATTTCTCTTAGATAGCTTGAAGACTCCACTCATCATCTAAGCCTCAATGCAGAGAAAGTAGGTTCTTGTTTAGTCTGTTGTCCATCATACCATCATACACGTGGAATAAAAAAACAAATTATTAGATTAGACAAGACAAAGACAAAAAAGGCCAAGCACTGAACCTTGAGGTACACCTTATTATGACTTGAACTCCCCATGTCTCCAAGTTAGCTTGAGGAGTCCACCCATCTAGACCTCCATGCAGGAATTTTTTTTTTTATATATAGTCTGTTGTTAAGAGACTAGATGGGATGATTCAATGAGTCACTGATGAAAACATCATACAAGTATAATAAAATGCATTATTAGATTAGACAAGATAACGACAAGAGGGCCAAGAACTGAACTTTGTGGTACACCTTTACTTATTATGGCTTGAACTCCCCATCTCTTCAAGATAGCTTGAAGAATCCACTTATCATCTAGGGAACGTAAGATTTCATTTAGTCCACTGTTAAGAAACTAGACAGGATGATCCAGTGAGTCACTAATAAAAACATCATACAAGTATAATAAAAAAACATTATTAGATTAGACAAGATAAAAACAAGAGAGCCAAACACTGAACTTTGACGTACACATTTACTTATTATGGCTCGAACACCCCGTTTCTCCAAAATAGAAGAACCCACTCATCAACTAGGCCTCAATATTGAGAAAGTGGGTTCTTATTAGTCTGTTGTTGAGAAACAAGACAGGATGATCCAGCGAGTCACCGATTAAAACATACAAGTGGAATAAACAGGGCATCATTAGATTAGACAAGATAAAGACAAGAGGGCCAAACATCAAACCATAAGACACACCTTTACTTAAGACTTGAACTCCTCATTCTCCAAGGTAGCTTGAAGAATCCACTCATCATCCAGGACTAAAAGCAGGGAAAGTAGGTTCTTACTAGTCGGTTGTTGAGAGACTAGACGGCATGTTTCAGTGAGCCACTGATGAAGTGGAATAACGCATTATTAGATTAGACAAGGTAAAGATAAAGACATGTGGGCCAATCACCGGACCTTGAGGTACACCTTTACTTATTATGACATGAACTTCCCATCTCTTTAAGACAACTTGGAATCCTCTCATTATATAGGCATCAATGTAAGGAAAATAAATTTTTATTTAGTCTGTTGTTGTTGAGAAACTAGACAGGATGATCCAGTGAGTCACTGATGAAACCATCATACATGTGGAATAAAGAAACGCATTATTAGATTGTGATATGAAAGATGTCTGTGAAATGTTTGTTTTGATGAATAATTCACAGTGTGACATTATCTGTTTTCTTTGTACTTTTCTCATTTTCCTCTCCCAGTGAATACGGATGTGTGTCTGGACTCTCTGATTCCTGGCTTGGAGCCCCCTCAGGCTCAGCTGCAACCTGTGGAGGCAGAATCGGCATCATTAGTACTGACAGGTAAAAAGAACTTGACTCAGAACCCTGAAGTATCATTTCATCTCTTCTGTAGCTTTCTAAAACTGTTCTCAAGTAAAATAAGTTACACTTTAAAAAAAAAATCATGTCAAGGTTTTGCTTTTTTCCTATTTCACTGCTCATTTTCTTGTTTTTCCAAAATAATAGCTCATGCGGTGTGAATAACCTGTAAAGAAGCAGTCACACTTGTCAGTTTTTGGTCATTTATGTAGTATTTTGTTATACAAAAGTCCTGTTCAGATTTGTTAAAGGGCCATGAAACCCCCTCGTTTCAGCAGGGTGTTTTCACACCTCTACTTTGGAAAAAGTCAGAAAAGTGGGCGTGTCCAGCTCTGTTTAGGGCGGAGTGTCGGAGGAACTAAAGTAGGAGGGTGTGGGAGTGTCTATTTGGGCACGCGCGAGTTTCAGTCAAAATACACACACATGAGAAAGTGATGGTGTTTAACCTACATGGACATCTGTAGTGGAATTATTTGCCAAATTATTAAATGTTGGACTTTAACTGCAGTTTGGCTCTTTCATTCAGGGAATTCATTCATGCCCCTCGCGACAAACGAGATATTTGATTCGAGGAACTGCTCTAAGCGTGTATTTTTCATGCAATGTTTGATACCGCACGGCGAATGAGAGAAAAAAAACCTCTGCATTTCCCGGAAACTTAGATGCACACGGCAGGTAGCGTCAGAAAGCCGCGTGTGTTATTCCGGTCACTAAATGCGGTAAAAACCCTACACGAGGTTAAAGTTTGGTTGTGGTGCTAACATGTTTACACTCTGTACAATAGTTAACTTAGTTCGATATAAACAAACTCAAATAAACAAAGAGCACCAGTTGCCAAATCTGTAGAGACAGGACAATCACCAGCAACTAGAGCCGCGTCTTTATGAAGAGAATACTACAAGCGAATCTGGATCTCAGCGTTTGCAGATGAGAACAGCTCTCAGGTAAACAATAATCCTCCTTAGACACGTAAGTTATTGTTGTCGAGCGTCGCGTACACTGTTAATCCACACATGACTCTGAGCTCTCACAGAGAGAAAATGAAAACGAAACTTCACTGCAGCATACTATAAAAGCAACACTTCACGCTTGTTTTGCCAACACAACGTGGCGTCTCTGTCGTGTAAACACTGTGATAGTAATGAATATTAATGAAGTTGCACAATAGAGCACGCTGATTGGTTTGAACCAAGCCTTACTCGTGGATTAATGCATCACACTGTAAGACGTAATAAGACACACTCTGGCACAGACGTCCAGTCTGCACGCTGAAATACAACGCTATTATGTCATGACCGTGACGCAGCTTCAAAAATTTGTTTCAAATCGGAAGTACGAATTTGCTTGAAATAACGCAAAAACAACCAATTTACACTTTTTAGTTAAATATAGGTGTCATAATAGTGTTTTTAGCAGTGTGGGACAGATATACAACTGTCAACAGCTCAAAACATGTGTTTTGGTTTTTCGTGACCCTTTAATGTTTTCTAGTTGAATATGCAGATTCACCACATATCTCTGTTTGTTTTGGTAATACACTACTCGCACAATTTTTCTGGGTCATTTTGCTAAAAATAACATTCATCTGACTTTGAAGACTAAACCATACCAAGTTGCAAAACAGCCTCCACAACTTTCTGCCAGATGTTGAACACACGCATTCACTAAAGTCCATATTTACATGTCAGTTATGCTTGTACGGTGTCCAGATGGGCCAGCTGAAACTGCTTGACTTTGCAAACCTGAAAATGCTGTAAATGATGGTGCCATTTTGTTCTTAGGGTCAGGAATGCAAGAGTTATTTAGCACACAAACTGACATTATTGAATGGTCAGCTATACAACAGAAATGTCACTTACTAGATGTGCTTGTTATTGTTTGTTTGTATGTTGAGGTTCAGTCACAAGACTAATTTATTACTGGATGAATCAACATTTTTGGACAAACATCTTCAATGATTCAATGACTTCCTCAAAGTCTTGTTTTATTAATGGATGAATCAACATTTTTCTGGCAAATGTCTTGAATGACTCACTCAGAGTCGTGTTTCATTCCTAAATGAATCAACATTTTTGGACAGATGTCTTGAATGATTCAATGATTCACTCGGTGTCTTTTTTCAATACTGGATTGATCAGCATTTTTGGATAAACGTCTTGAAATGATTCAATGATTCAGTCAAAGTCTAGCTTCATTACTCGATGAATCAACATTTTTGGACAAACCTCTTGAATCACTTAATGACTTACTTAAAGTCTTGTTTTATTAATGAATAAATCAAAATTTTTGCACAAACATCTTAAATGATTCAATGACTCACTCGAAGTCTTGTTTGAATACTGCATTGATCAACATTTTTTGCTGAACGTCTTGAATGATTCAACGATTCACTCAAAGACTTGTTTTATTTCTGGATGAATCAACATTTTTTGACAAACATCTTAAATGGCTCACTTAAACTATTGTTTCACTACTGGAGGAATCAACATTTTTGGATAAACGTCTTGAATCACTAAATGACTCACTCAAAGTCTTGTTTTATTTATGGATAAATCAGCATTTTTGGACAAATGTCTTGAATGATTCAATGACTCCCTCCATGTCTTGTTTTATTAATGGATGAATCAACATTTTTGGAGGGATGCCTTAAATGATTCAATGATTCACTCAAAGTCTTGTTTCATTACTGAATAAATCAACATTTTTAGACAAACATCTTAAATGACTCACTCAAAGTAATGTTTCACTACTGGAGGAATCAACATTTTTGGATAAACATCTTGAATCACCAAATGACTCACTCAAAGTCTTGTTTTATTTATGGATGAATCAACATTTTTGGACGGATGTCTTGAATGATTCAATGACTCCCTCAATGTTTTGTTATATTAATAGATGAATCAACATTTTTGGACGGATGTCTTGAATGATTCAATGACTCACTCGAAGTCTTGTTTCATTTCTGAATGAATCAACATTTTGTCATAAACGTTTTGAATGACTAAAAGACTCACTCAAATTATTGTTTTATTAATGGATGAATCAACAATTTCAAATCTCACTTAGCCGAAAGATTCAAAGACTTTTTGTTTCTTTAAGGATTCATCAGCAATTTTAAATCAGTTCATTGCTTGTTTGGTTTTTATATCAACTTGTCGCCATCTACTGGTGTAACAATGAAATTGTCGCAAACTTCATTTGAAGCAACATGTTACAATCAAAAAGTGTTTTAATCTATTTAAAGTTGCCGATCTTTAATTATTTATCATGATGCTCCTCCCCATTGTGTTTCAGACCCATTGATTGGAGACGACTCATTGCTGGGCGGTCCTCTGTCCTCTAGCTCCGCCTCCTGTCTTGATGACTTTGCAGTGCTTTCAGGAGGCCCCTCCCAGAACATACCAGGTACAACCAATTAGATTGTGTTCCGCCAGCCTTTATAGCGATTATATGGCTTTTTTTCGTGTAGGAACCTTCATGAGAACTTGTGGGACTGCAGTCTATGGTTTATTTAAATTCAAATCTTCTTTTATTTAAATTCAAAGCTTAGTTTTAATAAGAAAGTTTCAGCAAAAAATAACATGACATTTTCAGGGTCGACATTATGCTAATCTATTTTTCTCATCCATCTGTTTTTCCCCCTGTCACCTATTCTCCGAAATCTTCTCCCCATTACCTGTAAATTCCCCCAATCATCATTGACCCTCAGCTGCAGAGCCATGTTTGATCTCAGGCTTTGAGCCGTCGAGTGCTGAAACAGCCAATGAAGATGAATTTGACCCCATACCTGTCCTGGTGTCCAAAAACTCTCAAGGTAAGCTTTTTTCAAAACTGAATCCTTTCTCCCGGGAGGAGCAAGCAATTTGCTTCTTACTCTAATGTAATGATAGCAAGCACTGATCACATAAGTATATGTGTGAACCGTGTAATTTGAGTGCATGCTGCTTTTTTTTGTCCCAGAAGATGCCGAATTGAGATTTCAAGGTGAATGAACCACTTTTGCTCACTTATGACTAGAGATGGGGCTTGTGTGTATTTATATATATATATATATATATATATATATATATATATATATATATATATATATATATATATATATATATATATATACACACATACATATATAGAGAGAGAGAGAGAGAGAGATATATATATATATATATATATA